TTGTAAAAATAGCCAACTATTTTTAGGTGAAAAGTGGATAAAAATATGGTAATTACTAATATCTAAAAAATGTTATAGAAAAAACACGAATAAATTGGAAATAAAAGATTTAAACTAGGGGTTGAGATTGTTTCTCCCATTCTCATATTCTCATATTTTTGGGGCTTCTCATTTGAACCTAAGGATATAATATATATATATATATATATATATATATATATATATATATATATATATATAGACTTGGGATCATGTGAGACCAATGGTTTTTTATGAGACCCGTTAGACCAATTCTTAACCCTTGGATTAGATTTACAATCGTCAGATCTGAATATTCATAAATGCCACGAGACTTCTCAATAATTACAAAATTGTCATCTTGTAACTTTAGACCATTAGATCATTAGTTTATAAAGCTGATCAATGAACACAAATTGGTCTTACGGGTCTCACGTGAACCCAACCCTATATATATATANCTTGGGTTCACGTGAGACCAAGGGTTTTTCGTGAGACCCGTAAGACCAATTTGTGTGCATTGATCAGCTTTATAAGCTAATAATCTAATGGTCTAAAGTTACAAGATGACAATTTTGTAATTATTAAGAAGTCTCATGGAAATTTTATGATTATGAATGTTCATATTGTAAAATCTAATCCAAGGGTTGAGAATTGGTCTTATGGGTCTCACGAAAAACCTTTTGTCTCACATAATCCCAAGTCTATGTATATATGTATGTATATGTATATGTATATATATATATGTATGTATATGTATATATATATGTATATATGTATATATATATATGTATGTATATGTATATATATATATGTATGTATATATATATATATATATATATATATGTATGTATGTATGTATAGAGGAGCGATCAAATACAAACCTCCCAATTTGTACAAACTGTGCAAACCGCCCTCATCCGTCGATTTCATTGTTTAATCTTATGAAATTTTTCATGAAATTGTTTAATCTTATGAAATTGTTTCATTTAATACTTTTCTTTTTTGATGAATTTGTTTCATATATGGTTATGAAATTGTTAAATATAATACTTAATGATTTTTAATGAAACTGTTTTTCTTGTATTTTTCTAAAATTAAAATAATGAAGATGATAATATCCATGATTAACACCCTCCACAATAAAAATAATTAATCAACCTCTCATAATTATAAAAAAAATCAACAAAATAAAAAATTATGATTAGTTGAATTAGTTTTGTACAAATAACGTATGTACAAATAACATAGTTTGCAAAGTAAACCTCCTCTGTATATATATATATATATATATATACACAAATTGAGTGGTTTTTATTTGAACGCTTGTCTCTCTCTGTCTCTGTCTCTCTCTCTCTCTCTCTATATATATATATATATATATATATAGGGTTGGGTTCTCGTGAGACCAAAAGTTTTTCGTGAGACCCGGTAAGACCACTTTATGTTCGTTGATCAACTTTATAAGCTAATGATCTAATGGTCTAAAGTTGCACGGTGGTAATTTTGTGATTATTGAGAAGTCTTGTGACAATTTTATGATTATGAATGTTGAGATTGTAGATCTAATCCAAGGATTGAGAATTGGTCTTACGGGTCTCACAAAAAACCTTTGGTCTCACATGATCCCAAGTCTATATATATATATATATATATATACACACACACACACACACACTCTAGAAGGGTATTCGCGCAATGTAGCGAGATAAATCTCGATTTTGATGTTTAGTTTTTATTATTTGCCGTTATCGATATAATACGATTTTATGTAGTTTTGAGAAAACGATAATATTTTTATTTTTGAATTAAAATATAAATTTGAAGTTAACATAAAAATTTGTAAAAAAGTAAATTGATAATAATATCAAATTAACTATCTAATAGTTCTTTTTTTTAGGTGTAACTTATTTAATTCAATTTTTTATTACTAATTTAATTTAGATTTAATAACAAAGTAATTTAATAATATAATTTTTTATAAAGATAATAATTAAACATTCTGTTAGAACTCAATAATTATCTTAATTATATTTTAGATTTTCTATATTTAAAATGGATGTTTATCATTTTTTTATTATGTTTATCAGCAGTTAGTTACATGAATTTAAAAATGGAGTTTTAATAAGTTGTACTTACGCAAAATTACTTGTAATCTTAAATTTTAAGTAATATGCATCAATAAACAGTACTTCATGCATAAAAAATGGTTTTTATGAGTTTTTATCAAATGCTTTATAAAATAGTATATAGTATATGTATATATATGTATATATAGTTTTAATAAGTTGTACTTACGCAACATTACTTGTAATCTTAAATTTTAAGTAATATACATCAATAAACAATACTTTATGCATAAAAAATGGTTTTTATGAGTTTTTATCAAATGCTTTATAATATAGTATACGATATATATATATATATATATATATATATATATATATAAGGAAAAGTTCATTTAAGAAGTGGTAAATATTTGATAAGTAAAGAAGTAATCTCAACCGTTCATCTGGTCAACAATTGCGGCTTTGACCGTGTAGCACCGTATAATTTCTCGCATGGACATGTGAAAGATAGAAGGGTAATTTCGTAACTTTTACAAATAGGTGACAAACATGTTCATATGTGAACCCATGTGATTACAGCTCATATGTGAACTCATGAATTAGTTCAAATGTGAACTATTTAACTGACTCATATATGAACCCACATGTTCATATATGAGTTAGTTATATAGTTTATATATGAATCAGTTAATTTGTTCATATGTAAATCACAAGGGTTCATATATGAATCATTTAATTAGTTCATATGTGAATCATACAAGTTCATATGTAAATCGATTAAAATAGTTTATATGTTAATTACACCAGTTCACATATGAACATATGGTTCATATGTGAATCACATATGTTTATATATGAATCCATTTGCTGCTTAATTATAAAAGTTATAAAATTTCCCCTCTATTTTTCTCAAGCATAATTTTTGACTGGTCAAAGCCGCAATTATTGACTAGTCAAATCCGATTTTGAGCATATGAAGGCTATGATCACTTTTTAGTTCTATGATATTTACGACTTCTCATAATAAACTTTGGCTAAATATACATATATGTATGTATATATGTATATATGTATGTATGTGTGTGTGTATATATATATAGAGAGAGATTCTCAATCAAATACAAATTATGCAAATGTTACAAACCAACCTGCCCATCTAGTTTAACGAATATCATATATTAATTGTTTTCTAATACATAGCCTTCATCAAAATTAATGAACTCTAACCATCTTTTATAAATATTGAAATCATACTTGGGTTTTCATCATTTTCATAAATATTGGTTGCAGATTTGTAACATTTAAAAGGTTGATATTTGATTTTCCATCTATATATAACCATAGGTTCATTTGAGAAGTGTTAAGTATTTGACCAATCTTGACCGTATGAAGGGTTATGGATCATTTATTTACTTCTGAAATTTACCTCTCCGTGTGTATATATATATATATATATATATATATATATATGGGCTCATTAAAGGGAGAACTGATTAGTTTGTGGTAACTGTGAGATCCAATCTCAACCACAAATCAACGGATAAATTAGGAAATTAATAATTATGGTAGTTTGAGTTAAAATTATAATTAGAGGGCTTTTTGGGTATTTTTAAAAAACTTCTCCTCTCTCCTTTCTCATCTCTCCGACCTCCAATCTCCAGCCTCCGGTGAAATCGGTATCACAGTATATCACAATGGGTATCACATTGTGTATTGCAATGGATATCACATTGTGTATCTTTGTTTTTAAGGTTTGAGTTGGTATCATAGTTGGTATCACAATGAGTATCACATTGTATATCTTTGTGATTACTTGGT